TCTCAGCCGTATATCCAATACTGAAGCAGGTTCAGTTTCGTACACCTTTTGCTTCTAATAGCCCCATAAAAAAAAGTCTAAATGTGTCAAATCTAGCGAGCGAGCTGGCCATTCCACAGGCCGTCGACCGGTAAAATTGTTATCTAAATAATTCCTAATTTGTCTGTAGTAATGAGGTGGAGCACCGTCTTGGTGGAATACAATATCAGTATCGAATTCAGTAGGATTCGCTTCGACGATTTCGGTGATTAGAGGGTTAATAGTATTTTCCAGCATATCCAAATACAGTTCCCGGGTTAAAGTTTGTTCGATGAATAGAGGCCCAACAATATGATATCGCAGCCCAAACGTTATTTTTTTGTGGATATTGAGTATGAGTTTCCTGGAAGACGTGAGGATTGGTGTCACTCCAATAACGACAATTTTGTCTATGCACATTACCGTTCATAAAAAATGTACATTCATCACTAAAAAAAATATTTTGGATATAGGTAGGATGCCGTGCAATGGCTTCAGTCATAGTCTCGTAGAATTCTGTTCTTCGATCAGGGTCATCTTCAGTTACCTGATGTACCATTTGAATTTTGTATGGGTGATACTTATTCTTTTTCAAAAGTCTCCATACAGTAGAAGGACAAACTTCACATACATTCGCGATGGAGTAACTAGACTGTTGGGGACTTACTATGATCTCACCAATTATTTGAACTTGCTTTTCTTTCGGGATAGTCGGATGACCAGGGGGCTTCTTGTTGTTTACACTACTAGTAGCTGTAAATTTAGATACAAGTTCCCTCAAATATTTTCTATAGATAGGACGATTCGAAAAACGATCATTAAAAAACCTTTTGGTCTCGTGAAAGTTACACGTCGCATCATAAATAAAAATCCCTTCGATTTTTTCGAGAATTGACCATTTTAAAAATAATTCAAGAAGTATCTAGCACTAAAACCGAAAACTAATTAAGAATATTTTAACTATACAATGATGTTTGTTTTCATACTGATATTCTTGTCACTGTCAACAAAAAATAACAAAACAGGTTTTTATCGCTCTTGCTGTGGATACGGCAGGGAGTTGCAATTATTTGTAGAGATATGCATGTTAGTGGGTTTGTGTTCAAGTAATTATTAAATGTACCACCATTTTGTAGTAGGTAAAGGTATTGACTTTATATTCTAGGATTATAAAGTACTCATCAAGAGCTTCAAAATGATGTACCACAAGACCCCCGTTTACATATATTTTTTTTCCAGCGGCCATCTTGACATTTTCATCCGTCAATTTTACTCTAAAATGGTATCCACGCATCAATTTCATTATCTCAAGTTTTAATTTCTTGAAATTATCCGTTCAAAGAATAAAAGGGGGGGGACATTAAAGAAAAGCAGTGTATAAGAAGACATTGAACCGAGAACCAGCAGAGCGCCGTTATCAGGGTAATCTATATCTATCTGTACATACAATTTAATTAAAATAAGACCATTTGCACAATGTGTTATATTTATTGTCAGAGACACATAAAAAGCAGTTGGAAGTTCCAAGTCGTAGGTTGGGCGTCATTTTGTAATGTTTTATAAATAGCATGGATATCGTTCTTATTTTAAAGATCGTCGTGAGTACTTTATAACCGTAGAGAATATAAAATAACTACCTCTCAAAACGGCGGACATCTAAACTCTATAGATTCAGTAATATTTTTCTTTGGAGAGTGTCTATCGGGTGCAATACAATGTGAGACATTGAGGTATAAGTGAAAAACGCTCAACTTTGAGCTCTCCATTTTCAAGGTTGGTGATTTTATATTCTAGAGTCATCAGGTTCTTATGGTGAGTTTTAAAATGAGGTATCACACAATTCCCAATGCCATTTAAAGAGTTTTCCAAGATGGGACCCGGTCGCCATCTTGGTAATTTAAAATAACACGGTTACGCTGAAATATAGTATTTATACCTCAATTTCATTCCCTCAAACTTAGGGGGAAGGGGCATTTTGAAGAACACTGTATAGTTTATACAGATTGATTAGACCTGTATTATAAAATGACTATTCTATAACTGTGTCGGTATATTAATGAGGCAGAACAAAGACCCGATACCAGGTAAATGAAAAAACAGAAGAAGCAGGTGTGACCCCACTATATCATAGAGAGATCATTGTGTGTGTACGTGTGATAAAATAACGCGTTTCGTGCAATAAACACCCATAATTTTGACAATGCGTTGTGTTCCGCCATGATTTGTTTGCCAGTGAAATTTAACAGCGTCAGAAAATACCCCCGGCCCGCTTGCCGCTTGCTCCGTTTTTCATTGTTGCTAGGAAAATTAGAATGTGTATGCTCTCACTTATTCATAGCCGACGTTCTTTTATGTTATGTGGTTTATTGCCAGTTTTACTGCCGCCATAATTGTTTTCTATGCCACATAAATGTCCAACGGCAGGCTGCCGAGAGGAAATATGGAGTGATCTTTCAACAATCTTGAGGGATTTGCCATGTGGCGCTGACACCTCATCGATTTTCAATAGCGGCAATAGATGGCACCTTCGCGCTTTATTAACCACATGATTTGCACTTTGTAAAGTAACAATAATAATCTTCATTCGCAAATACAAATCATACAGTTGCCGTAAAACCGCTTGTGAAACAAAACAAATCTTATTCTGCAACATATAACTCATCAAAAAGTATATAATTTTAGTAGCAATTTGTATAGGTTCCTTGAAAGCATTTAGGCTAACAATCTTTTCCATAACTGCTGGCAAATGATTAAAAAGCTTTAAATAATTATAAAGTGTTCCTTTTTCAAATAATGCCTGGGATAAGTAGAGTTGAAAACTGTATAATTATTACTTGTTTGAGAATTTTGAAACAACCTATGTTTCTACAATATCCCGAAATAACCATGAATCACAAAATCGTCAAATACGTGAGGATTCCATGAACTTTTATAGTACGTCAAAATATAATCAACACTAAAGAAATCAAATTTGTTGGTACATTATACACCTAGCCTGAGCAGCTATTTCCGAACTGTAGCGATATAGTTCTCGTAGCTTTTTTGCTGGAGTTATTTCAAAGACCCTTGCTCTGACTAAAATAGTCATCCATATACAGAACCTGTGTAATCCATAATTCGTTTAAGCATTTTCGTGCTGAAGAGAGACCATGTGAACGGAGCCAATGGCGCTGAAAACACAGTTCGATCCTGTACCGCTGTTATATTGGTGCTGTATCTTCTGAGGTCATGAGCTACCGTCCCTTCGCGTCAAATTCACCCATCCGACAAATATTAGCCAGACTGACTTTACTATCCCTATACTGTGGTATAATCTACCTCAGAATTTGGCATCAAGTAAAAAAATCGTATTTCGTCCTCATTGGTGAGGATTGGTTACAGCAGACCAAAAAGCCTGGCAATGCTAAAGCAGGGAGGTATGGAAAATATAAGTAGCAGAAACAGACCATGTCAGTCAATATGAAGATTTATTACCGACCAAAGCATCATGAAGCGCGGATTCTATGACCATCATCACAGATTTACAACTGGTACAAATCGAAAGTAGGGTCAAAGTAAAATTGGGAAGGCTTCAGTACAAAATAGCCCAGGATTACATGTACCGCTAAATATCTATCATTTGTTAACGGATCCAAATTCTGTAGGAAATTACTCGTAATTAAAGCGACTTTTACCTTTTAAATGAAATTAAAAGAAAGCCTTGGCATCAGCTAGGTTCCTCTACTGTATTTCATCGATGATAACAGAATTTAGATTTAAGGTCACGAAAAGGTTATGTCGCTTTTGAATCGTACAAATTTGCGGCATCCATATCAATTCAATTCATTTCAATCGACTTCATGGTAACAAATACATATAGTATAGTTACAAACCGCGAAGTCTGGTAAGGACCATCTATACTTAACCATACCAGAATGAAATATTACGATGCCGCATGTAACTTCTTAGATTTACAATTCTTTCATCTAGTTATTCTAAAACGTGAAAAAAATAAGTAATCCTTGCCGATCTATGATCTGGATGAATACTCGTTTCCTGAGTAAATCAAATCGCGAATCCGATGTCAATTTGGTTCCGGAGCAGTTACTTTTGTGCATCAAATTCGGCGTTACAACACCATATAAATGTTTCACAATGATATTTGAATTGAGTGATTGATTAAGGATATCAAATTCCACCATAACACCATAACAAAAACTTGCAAAAGTCCTTGCCCAGCTATGATGTGTTGCCTAAACGTCAAATATGTGCAGTCGGTGTGATGTGTTCGACTCAAATGTAGCATCTGCTTCAAAGATGGTAACGGAGCCCCTTTAAAGGTTGTATGGTCTAATCTGTAAATTTACACTTCATACCAACCCTACGAACTTTTTTCACAAATTCAGGTTCCCAAATTACTTAATTCTACCAAGCTTGGTTCGCATATATCCACCAAGTCGTATAGATTTTCAATGTTTCACCTAATAATAGGATCCACATCATAGCATGTACCAGACTCAATAAGAATGGCTTTCCGATTCGGTTTCAGAGACCAAAAATACGTACGGTAGAGGTCACTCGAATCGAAATTCAAGGCACTTTTGTTTTCAGTGGCCATGTTATGATAAAGGGTCCAAATCAGTGTTTCTCAATGGTGAACCATTCGCGACCCAATTTTCAATAATTATTTTCACCGCGCCCCCCTCCCCCTCACACAATAGCAATGTGTGTAGTAATAATGTACCTTGAGTATTTTGACGCTAAACTTACAGTACAGCCATAATTACAAATCCTACAACTGATCGAGAATAAGTGAATTTATAGATATTTGGCATCGCCGATCTGCTGCATTGGCAAATCCGGAATCAATGCCTCTCTTCACGAGAAGTTCCGAGTTAAAGCTTTACTTTTCTCTTATGAAGTTTCATATGAAATAGCCATATGTATTGAGCCTCACGCTATTAGTGAATAGCTTATTTTGCCAGCTGTAATTAAAATTGTAGAAACTATGTATGTTTGGGGATAATTTTGCCAATAAATTGGAGTCCATACCTCTATCAAGTGATCCGGTTGCCCGTCGAATTGATGATATAGCTGAAGATGTAGAACATCAGCTACTCGGGAAGTTACGAGACAAGTTGTTTTCAATTCAGCTTGATGAGGCAACGAACAGCCATAAAGATGCTCATCTTATTGAATACGTAAGATTTTGTGATGGCATATCAGTAGTAGAAGAACTACTTTTCTGGAAACCTATAGAGCTCAAAGCAACATAGCATTATTTGCTATCTTAAATCATTATATTATAATCTAGGCAAACATAGAGTGGAAGAATTGCGGCGGAATATGGACCGATGGGGCTCGTTCAATATACGGAAGATTTGAAAGTATACAAGCCCTTGTAAAACAAAAATCTGCACTGTGCACATTGCATGCTTCACAGAGAAGCTCTGGCTCCCAAAGAAATGTCTCCTGACCTGAATGTTGTGCTAACTACGGTTGTAACAGTAGTTAATTACATAAAAATGAGACCTTTGAAAACTAAAATCTTTTCAGCACTTTGTAATGAGAGAGTCATGATATGAGTCATTCGCATTACTATTCTATTGCGAGGCAAGATGGTTATCGCCGTTTTTGTATAAGAAAACCGACCGGAAGCCGAGATATTTCGAGATGGTTTATTTCTGATGGAATTGAGCTACTTGGTTGACATATTCGAGAAACTAAATATCTTGCACCTTCAGCGACAAGGAGCAAATACACATATATTGGATACGAGTGATAAAGTTAACGCTTTTTGTAGAAAATTGGAATTGCGGAGCAGAAATTTGAAGCAAACGAACCTGGAAATGTTTGCAAATGTGAATGAATGTATTAAAACTTACTAGATTGAAGAACAACATATGAAAGTTGTTTTCGTAGCCATTGAAAATCATTTAGCGGTGTTGAAAAAGAATTTTAAAAAATATTTTCTTTTCGACGACAAATCAATACTTAGTTACGAGTGGGTTAGGAATCCGTTTCAAATTACTTCCGAAGGGCTCTCAACTGCCGAAGAAGAAATCTTCATAGACTTGACAGCAAACGCCGAAATCAAAAACCAGAGCGTTTTGTATACTACCAAAATTTCCAACATCCTGCCTTTGCGAAACATAATTTTCGGCGGTGGCTGCCTTGAAGGCCAAATATAGATCGCAGCTGCATATAGAAAAAGAACTCAGAGACTCTATTTCAAATATTGAACCTTGTTTCGACAAGCTTTGCTCGGCAAAGCAGGCACAAGAAAGTTACTAGTATTTATCATCATTTTTTACAATTAATATTATTAAACTTATTTTTAATTTAGAATTGATAAAAACAGTCCTGTCCATAAGTGTAGCTACTACAGGGTGACTTTGAAGTTGAGTCATTAATTTTCAGATAATGATTGTAGAAGGAAGATAAACCAAAATATGTGTGTAAAAATAAAATAAAAACTAAAAAAAAATGTTACCTTGTTTTATAAAGTATCCTCCCGACAAGTATTTCAGTGCGGACCTGAATTTGATCGTGCGGTCTTGGAGCACCGGCATGCTCTCCCCTGTGAGGTCTTAAGTCACCTGATTCACGAGCCCTTTGTACTACATTAACAAAGGCGGTACTCAAACTTCCAAAGGGCTATGACTTTGTTACTTTAATTTTACCAGAAAAATGGTAAAGGAAAAGACATTTCTTTTGATCAGATCTATATTCAGTGTTAATGTGTATTTTATTTTTGATTATGTCAGAGTTTTGTTTTTCTTCCCTTTTAGTGAATTATTTAATGTTTTTAATGCTCAACTATGCTTGTAACTTGAGCTTGTGTCGCTGAAACCGAAGACAGAATTCAATTTCGAGATGTAGTTGGGAGTTTCAGTTACAATAAAACGCTATCTAAAGAAAATTTAGCATTGTGATAAGGGTTTCTGATGCGTAGATGCCGAATCCAATATCAATTTGGTGCTGGTATGGTGCTTGAGATCCCTTACTAAATGATTTGTCTAATTCTCAAAATTCAAAAATCGCATTATGATAAGGTTATGCGTAAATGCCGGATAAAATATCACTTCAGTGCTAGTTTGGTGCTTGAGATTACACACTAAATCATATATCTAATGTTCAGTGTTATCACAATGCTACAGTAACGCACAGTTTATGAGTCTTCCTTTTCAACAATTAACTATTGTTACACGTGAGAATATTAACCCAGAGGTACCAACATTCGCGAGGTGTAACAATTTATACACATAAAAAACACCACTGGAAGTGATTGTTTCATATAATGTGAATAGTAAAACATCCCATAATACTCCATGAAACTAAAACTAAGTAATTTGTTTTTGGTTGAACAATAGAGGGTGGTTTTTGTGATTTTGTTGTGGACGCGTGATACACTTGCAGGTACTCCGTCGAGGCGGCCTGGCGCGTTGCGGCAAGTTTTACGGCGGCCATTAAAAAATATACGTACGCTAGGTGGTAGACGCGCAGCGAGACCGACACAACGTGTTTCGCTGTTCCCAGAGTGGAGCGGCTGCAGTGGAACAATGTAGTCCATTGGATTACGTGGCACGAATAACACGTGCTGTCAACATTTTCTGAAAATGGAAAACCCTGACACCGCCCGTTGTATGGACACTGAACAATATGAGTCAATTTGAAATGTTCCTACGCACACGTACAAAATATCACAGCTGTCGCAGCAAAAATGTGACTTCAGTGGCAATTCATAAAATATTATGTTCAGCCCCTCTTAGAAAGACGTATAATAATAATGATAAAAATAAACCGTCTTTATTACCGATGGCAAAGTCCAGCTAATAGCTATTCCACTTAACCACTTGAGTGCAGCGCCCAAACAAAATACACAATTAAACTAGAATTGAGCCAAAGAACTAATGACCTAGACAAACAACGAATTTATGATAAATGAAGTTTTCCAAAAAGAGTTGAGCAACTCAGGCATTCGCAAAGAAATAAACATAATGTAGATTTCATGCTTCTAGCTTTTTACTGCCGTACAGAATGTGCAACGACAGGAGCCGTAAATGTTTTGTGTTAAAAAGAGACCTAACCACTTTTGATACATAACAATAACTATCTGTCTCAGAACTATGGGATCAAACTTGTAGGGATTATTCAGTGTCACAATAGAAAACATCTCGGTATAGGGACCCATATCCGGCGCTTGTGTTTTGTTATCTTTTAAAATGATAACAGAGATTGTTTTTGTAGCTGCATTCCATATCGCCTCAGTCGTGCTATTGTATTTGTGAAGTTTGCAAGAATTAGCAAAAATTAATTGTTGCTAAGGGAAAACTTTACCGTTCAAGAATTGTTGGATATACATTTGGCAGACGTAGCAACAAGCAGCAGCGCGGTTGTATGAAGAACGCTATCCGGAACGACAGCATCCGGGATACAAGAAGTTTATTGCTATTCGTCCGCGGCTCTCCGAGACAGGCATGTTTAAAACCAACATGCATGATTCTGGTGTTGCTCGAAGCGTAAAAACGGTCGAATTTGAAGAAGTGGTCTTTCAGCGTTTGGTACAAAGAAAATCCCCATGCAATTTTTCCTAGAAAACATCAGCAACGTTGGTTTGCAACGTATGGGCAGGCATTGTTGATGATTATTTGATTGGGCCATGCCTTCTATCGGAGCGGTTAACAGGACCTTTTTACCGGCATTTCTTGGAGGAAGTTCTTCCAGAACTTCTTGAAAATGTTCCATTGAACGTTCGACAGAAAATGTGGTTTCAGAATGATGGAGCGCCGGCCGACTTTGCTGTACAAGTACGTACTTGGCTCAGCCGTTGGGGCACCGTTGGATTGCCAGAGGTGGAGCAGCTTCTTGGCCTCCTAGGTCACCCTATTTAACGTCGCTAAATTTTTTCCTGTGGTGACATGTAAAGTCTTTGGTTTACGAAACTCCAGTAGAAACTTAATTGGACGAATTACAGCAGCATTTGAAATCATTCAAAACGAGTATCAAATTTTTAGTCAAGTCCACCGAAATCATGTGCGACGTTTAAATCGGTGTATTCAGGTTGGAGACAGACATTTTGAACAATTGTTGTGATGATATCATGTACAAAAATCAAAAATTAAATGCATTAAATCCTATTTAGGCAATTCATCGTCTTCCTGAATTTTAACGCGTCTTAGGGCCGTAGTGCTATAGTGACACTTTTCCGGATATGGGTTCCTATACTCAAATGTTTTCTACTGTTACACTGAATAACCCCTAGAAGTTTGATCCCTTAGTTCTGAAACACCCTGTATAAACGATAATAAAGAAATAATAGAAAAATTAATTTAAAAAGTACAATTATTATTAGTCCTACTGCGTTATCGAACAAATAACATTTAAATTTGAATTTGAATTTGTTCACGTTTTGAAGCTTAAATTCTTGTGGAATTAAGGAATTTAAAGGGTCAAGTCAGACAAATAGGCCCAGTCCTCAAGCCCTACAAAACTTTAAATCCAGCTATACCTACCCCTAACAACTCCATATCCTCCCCAAATTCTCGTCGTTCAAAAATTCTTCAAAAATGTACAGGAGTCTCTTATAAGTCAAAGAAGGAAGTATTTCCTTTCCATAACAAGATTAAAGAAAACTGGTTTCCAGGTACATTTTACCGTTCGCTCATGTGACAGAAAACAATGGCAAATCAATGCCACAGACGGACGCTCGTTATAGGCTGTTATTCATTCATGTAATGACCAGGTGAAAATGCAATAGATGACACGAGGGTATTTTGTCAGGGCACTATCAGATGAAAGCCTTTTACCGTGCCTATGTTATTATAACCCCAATGTAAGTTGTTCTATGTTTTGTTTCACCTACGAGGGTTGCCTCACGAATGAGGTTCCGACTTTTTTTCATTCCCAAGAAATTGTTTATTTGAAAAAACGAATTTACCATTGGAAACGTTTTTAGAAGCCTCAGGAATTTCAACCGCCTGTTCCCGGTTGCATTTTAACACTATGGTATAGGATTCGGCACCAGGCTTAATGTTATTGGTCAATCTCAATTTATTCAACCAATAACAAGCCGGGTGCCGAAATCACTACCGGAACGTTAAACAGTGCTGAGCATGGGGTCAGAATGTTATCAATTTAAATTTACTTACGTTCCGCTAAAAATATGTAAAATAATAATCAACGCACGTTGTTTCCTATTACGATAGTTAATGACTTTAAAATTAATAATTTGGTTTAGCAATAAGAAAAATTACATGAAAAATTTATATATATATATATATATATAGGTGAAAAATTAAAGCTTCCGCCTTTTGTTGGGTACTTCGACAAAATTTAAGCAAAGAGGACTCTTTATACTTTTTTTAATTCTCTCTAGCTTTCAATGGACTTTGCCATCATCATCAGGAGCTGCAATTACAATGATAACAGTAGCAACAAAAGTGTAAAATTAATTAAAATTGAATCAACTTACAGTAGTATCTGAGGATGTTGCTAATTGTTGTTTTCGTATAGGATGAGGGAAACGTCCAGTAACATGGTGAGAGCTGGATACATGGTACAATGGTTAAAATTATATAAAATATGACAAGACAAGTTAAAGACAGATTAAAAATTATTTAGAAAACATTAGAGCATTACGTCGTGAAGCCACTTGATGATTGCACAAAATGGTGGTCATGGAATAATGAGTGAGATGAACCTTTGACAGAAGGCCGAAGGTTGTGAATGACTGTGTTGAAAGATGGAACGAATTGTGGGCGTGTGCCAAAACGTTGCCAAATCACTTCAGATGATGTGATTTTCAGAATGTTATATAAGAAATTGTTAAACCGACCAGAGGCAGTTGAATAAACTATATTTTAATTAATGGGAATTTTAAATTAATAATTATTAATAAATCGTGAGCAGAGAATTATTAGATTTTGAGTGGAATGAAATTTGTTGGTGGAATCGGCCAAAACACAGATTATATTTATTGTTGTGAAAAGTCGAAATTTGGGGAGATATGTAAGTTCTCCAATTTTTCGCAGTTTAGCAAATATGAGTAAATGACACTCAGTTGTTTAATATCTGTCTTTTTGTTGATACAGTTGTTATTCATGAAAATGT